TTATTATTATATTAGGAATTAACTGACTAATATTTTATATTTTTTAAAATAAAAAAATAAAAAAATAAAAAATTATAGTATCAAAAAAAATGCCAAACAGAACTTTTGAAGCAACAGCTAGAAAAACATTTAGGTAAAGATTTTATTATTATTATTATATTAGGAATTAACTGACTAATATTATATAAATTTAAAATTTTAACTTAATTTTAAATTAGTAAATATAAACCCACCTAAGTCTCATGGATACCATTTAGTTAGCATGAAAAAGTTGCCTCGGAGAAGGGGTCATCATTCTCTGTCACCAAGAAACCAGTTATTCCCCGTTTATTCCTAAATTCATCCTCAAATAAAAGTAAAAAGGAAAAGAGAACGAGATGGGTTCAACAGGCATGTTTATAGCCATGTAGATAGGGGTTAAGGTCTTATAAAAATATTAGATTGTGTTATAATTGTATTTATTTTAATCATTAAAAATAGTTAATAATTATAATTTTTAATTAATAAAATAAATAATATTTATCATTTAATAATTTAAAATTATTCTATAAATTAATATTTTTAAACATATTAATTAATTATAAATGAATGAAATTAAACAAAACAAACACAGGCATAAATTTTATAGGTGCTATAAGCATGGACGGGTTCAACAGGTTACAGTTGCTCCATGTTACGTACAATTGCTGGGTCGGGTTGCCATTTATCCTTCTTGTTGGGATCTACAATTCTACATTACTCTTACTCAAAATTACAATGTTCCCAACAACTCGCCCCGACAGGCCTTCCTGTTACTAAGCACGTTGAAGAAACGTGTCACAAACCCGCTGCCGCTGCTGCTGCCACCACCGCAGTCTGTGACAACAATGACTGATGTTTCTAAATAGTTTTTAAGACAGATCAATCACCAGTGTCCTATGGAGTCAACTAGTTACGTTCCGCTTTAGGGTTTCGGGCTTAAATGCTTGCTTGTTCGTCAATTTCAATGTTTTTCTACTTCTCTAATGTTATTTATTATATTTGTTTGATATTCATAGTCTCATACTATATTCATTGGATTGGATCTAAACTTTTCGATCTGTTTAAAATTGGTGAGTAGTAACCAAAAATTCGTGTTTATTTTTTGGCCATAAAAAGAACAAAAATTAAATATCAGCTTCCCGATTCTATGATAAACTGGCATACCACAATCTTTTTCTTCTTTTTAATCATTGGCTACAAGATTCGGAGTCATGCAGTCCTTCAAAGTATGATTTCTCAGCATCCAGAACATCCTGAAGAAACCATAGATCGTTCAGTTCCCGAACATAAAGTAGAAGATACAGGGATTATGTTTGAAATTATAACCTTTATGATCATGATAGCAGCATCCTTGCTTATGAGCTCGTTATACTCACCACAAGCCAGATTCTGCAACATACAAAATCTATAAATATCACTCCAATGGTCAGCAGGACAAACAGGGAAATTTGAGAATGGAGGTGAACCTGAACACAATTAGGACAACCAGTGTCCCCAGAGCAGCGGCAACATGTTAGAAGTTCCAAAGCTGAACCTAAAAGCTCCGTGAAATATGGTTGGATCTGTTACAAATCAAATCCATCATGTTTTCAACATTAGCAGCCATCTAAGAAGCAAAATTTATCTCCATGATTTATGTGGCTCAAAATTTGCATGCCAGCTGCTTATTTGTTTATCCATAGCAAATAGATTTAACTGAAATTTCAAATCCTACTACCATCACCTGTTTTGAGACACCAGTTCCTCCAGGATGCTGATCGTATAAAAGAATTCTCTCAGGGACGAAGCGAGCTTCATAAGGGTTTGGACACTCTGGAGCCAAGTCAGATGAATTGCACTTCATATATCTAGTTGCCAAAGAATTATAAAGTCAGAGAACCATTTTCAAAGAAGGATGAGACAGATAAGAGCTTCGCAGAAATTGACATTTCATGCATCAAATATTAAACAGAATATAGATATCCGGATAATTGCTGGTAGAGAGCCTTAATTGTAAAAGATAAACATCCAAATCTGACCCATTTTCATATAAGGAAGCCATCTGCTTTGTATTGAAAATATATTACAAATGTCAAATACTTACAATGGTACCACATGCAAAAGTGCATGACAAGCGGCATGCAGACCTGCACGGAACAAAAAATTTTTCTCCACTTCTGTTTTTACAGATTGTGAAACGCTAATCCAAACAGCCTGCATATATTGAAAATGAAGATATCTATAATGATGGAACTTAAATGTGTACATACAAAAATATCATATGATCATAACTGTAAAGAATGCAAAGTCCATCAATGGGGTCCTTATAGCACCTGTGATTCATATGAATAGCTAGGAAGGGAAAGATCCACCGTATCAAAGACTATGTTGCTTCCTCTCCATATACGACGGAAACCAAACCAAGTAGTTGTTACCTTGCAAGTATTTGCTTGAGCTGTTGTTCGTGTGTGATGGTCCTTTGAAACCCTGGCTGGGTAGGCCTAATGAAAAGCAGGGGGAATATATGGGTAAACCGAAACTTTCATGACCCAACAGGAGTTCTATGTTGAAAATATAATAAAGAGGAAATGTAACACCTTTAAGGAAATGGAGTGATTACTTCATATTGCACTTTGTTTGCAAGACTAGATAAATAATATCTCTTCAACACTTGAAGAAAACCTTTCATTGTTGGCCCTTTATAATATTAAAGTATCTGTCCTTCTCTTTACCATTATTTTTTCTAAGGTTATCCAAATATCTATTCCTTTAGAACTTAAGCAACAAATGTTTCTTACCAGCCTTATCCCCATGTTAATACCTTTACTTATTCTCACACAACTTAGAAGCGAACAGAAAGAGCCAATCACAAAAGATATTAAGCATCTTGGTATAAAGATTTAATGTGGGCACATGGATTGAATTGATTAATAGAAAAAAATGTGAATAAATAACGGTCTCCTAAAGAGTTGTCTCACATAAAGTTGACAATCTACTTTACAAGGACATAATGCAGATACTATCAGTCCCAGGTGTCACCCCTAACCCCAGAATAGAAAATGATAAATGAGAGAAAAATATTATTAATCATCAGATAATTTCCAAGTACCATTCACTGTGTAATCTGCAACATTTAAACAAAAGAGAGGATATTTGATAGTGCGACATACAGTTTTACCACCAATAATATGAATATCTGTGTAGTCACGAGTCTTTGTGTAGTACTTCAGATCAGCTTCTTCACAGAAAGCAATTTTTTTGGATATATCCAAGTCCTTCACCAGGTAAGTCCTTCCTTGGTGCATGTACACAGCACCTTCATACACCTTTAAGACATGAATTATATTATATATAAATAGAAAAAAATATGCATCTGGAAGTAATTTAGGGAAAAACCAAAGGTCTTATTACCATGGCAAAAAGGAACTATACTCTTGCCTTGGCACAAGTTCCAACTTCCAAGAAATGATCATAAAGTACAAAAGTTTTACCTGGAAGAAAGCCTTGCTTTCCTCAATTTCTTCAAGAATTTCGTCCCTTCGTGTCTCTATTACTTTGTATCTTTCTGCTTCTATTGCTCGAATGCTAATTGCACGTGATGGTGTTTTCTGTGAGGAAAATGAAAGGAAAAATACTTAAATGTTTACATTAGGCAGAAGTAATCATGTTCTCAAACCTCAACAGTGAATAAAACCAATATACCTCTTGTCCAATGTAGCTCCATATTTTAGTTGAGCTGTCACCTGAAGGATTCGAACAAATGTATCCTTTATTTTTAAGAGATATTATGGCACTGTTCAGACCAGAGCCAAAATATTTCTCATCATGAACCAAATTAAGTGGGTGTTCAAGAGCAGCACAGACCAGATGCTGTTCAAGCACCTACAAAGAATACAGCATCATATTATCTGTGAACAAATTTGCCTACTTCTTGGACCAAAATATAAAAATTATTTAAGGAAAATGTCAACCACAGAAATTCAATACATGCTCATTTTGTGCGTCAATATGACAACACTCAATCGGACCCCTGAAGAGTTTCTCAGGATATTTCATAAAGTACTGATCAAGAGGCCCTTCAAATGCAACATACACTGCAAGCGATGACCTTTCTCTTCTCCCAGACCTCCCAGCCTGTTGCCATAGGCTAAATACAAAAAAGAAGCACTCCCAATTACATATTTTGAAAATAAATACTTATATCAACAGTAATAATTGCAAGTGTGCATTGTACCTTGCAATACTACCAGGAAAGCCTAAATGTAGAGTTACATCAATATGTCCAACGTCTATTCCCAACTCAAGAGCATTTGTTGCAGCAATACCACAAAGCTTTCCTCCAAAAATATCGCTCTCTATCCTCCTCCGCTCCTGTGATGTCAATCAGCAAATACCAAGATACAGTACAATGTCATATATAATCAGCCCAATTTTCAAACCAGCAGCAGAAACTTTTCTAAACAGTAAACAAAAAGGGAAAAAGAAAAAAGAAACTGACCTCAGCAACATAGCCACCACGATATGCACATATGGAATCAACAAGGTGAGCAGCTGTCTCTTTAAGAATTTCACGCCTAAAACACCCATATACATCAGAAAAACCTCCCACCTTTTTACTTCATACAGATGTTGAAAGAAAAAGTATGGTGCAAGAAACTAAGAAACCATTCTGTGACATACGTATAACATAAAACAAGCTCACAAAGTTTACGCGATCTACAGAAAGCAATGCAGCGAAGCCCATGCTGAACCATTTCTGCAAAAAGGTTTGAAATTTCCGAAATTGGACTGAAAAGAGAGGTAGAGAGAGAAAGATATGATCAGAGACAACTTAACTTGCATTTCCCAACATCATTATACTTTATTTAGAAAAATAAAGTTCTCCCCGTCAGCCCATCCTACCTCAAACTTTTATCTGAAGCATTACCAGTATCCATAGCATTCTGAATTTTATCCGGTACCTGTAGTTTAATAGTATTAGTAGGTAAACATCAGAACCTGCGAAAGCCATCATATATTATGAAGGAGAGCAAAATTAGATAGAAGACTTACAGTTCTCTGTACAGAAGGATTCCAGAGGATGAAAAGCTTCTGAGAAGAAGGACTTCCATCATTTTCAATCAGCTCTAGTGTTGAGAGACTTGCAAGCTCCTAAAACATCAGAGACATAACATTGCCATAAAAACAAACAACAATAAATGTAACAATATATAAAAAATTAAAACACCTGAGAGAACTTCAACAAAACTAAAATCTAAAGACCAGACAGTTATCATGAAAAAGGACAGTTATGAGGGTATAATTGTACTTGTGGGCTGCCCCCCAACAACTGGACATACCATGGGGCAAGCCGACTAAATTGAAAAAATTCCAACAAGAAGCTGGTAAAGCAAATTAATTGCAGATAGATAGCTTCATATATATGCTGCGGAAAAAGCAGGAAAAAAGAAAATATGGGAGAGGACAAGGTTCAAGACTGCTTAATCCCTTAAAATAGCAGCACCAAAAAATAATAGATATGTCAAGAGGCACAAAAGTGAATTATATAATGAATAACATGGAATCTCACCATACAATGCTCACGAGGGTTGGCAGAAGTTGCAGTGGAAAAGATGAATGAAGGTTCAGCACCGTATACTGCAGAGTCCATTTAACCATGTCAAAAGAAAAGGAAATAGCATAGAAAATAGGAATCCTTGCTTTTCTCTCTGATTACCATGTGAACAAAGCCTGCGAAGTCTTCTTAGTATAAGAGCAGTATGGCACCCAAAAGCTCCTTTATAAGTATGAGCTTCATCAATCACTACAAACCTTAAGAGTAAGAAATATAAGTAAAACTCAGTGAACAAACAAATATATGATAAACATCATTGTAAGTACTACATAAAACAAAGGCAAATTATGACTTAAGATGCTAACCAACAAAACTTTAACAAGTCAGAAAGCAATTAAATGACAGGTTGTATTCTAATAAATATTACCGAAGGTTGGATAAAATCCGGCTAAATTGTCTATGTAATGGCAAGATTGACATGTGTAACATATCAGGATTTGTGATCAACTGCACATTAAACAACAAGGATGTCAGACCAGAGATGACTACGTCATCAGGTGAAGCTAATTGTGCTATTTACAGCAGCCAAAATTTTGGAGATAAAAATACCAGTCTAGCATTCCCACGTAGCAAAGTCCTGTCCTTCTGAGAAGTGTCACCATCATATACCCCAATATTTATGCTAGCATCAAATCCTCTAATCATAGATAGCAATGCTCTTAATTGATCTTGAGCTAAGGCCTGTAGATCACAAAACCAAAATGCCAAATTCAAAAAATCAGGGGTCAATCCCCACCAAAAAAAAAAAAAAAAACCTAAATCAAAATACTCAAAACAAACCTTGGTTGGAAACAAATAGAGAGCACATGATGATGGGTTATGGCATAATTCTTTCAAAACTGGCACATTATAGCAAATAGATTTCCCACTAGATGTCATTGTTGCAACAACAACATTTTTCCCAGAGAGTGATGCTGATATTGACTCTGCCTGTGTTGCAACAGTTCAAAAGTTCAAAAGTTCATTGAATTTATCAGCTTATGTAACAAAAAATAAGCTTAGAGAAAAACGTGCATACCTGGTGGCTGTAAAATTTGCTAATGCCAATGCTTCTAAGAGCAGATTTTGTGTTGTCCAAAAGTTCATCTGGGATTTCAACATAAGTAGCTTTCCTTGCTTGAATGGTTTCAACATGAACCATCTGCATTCCACATTCTTCTGTAGTTAAGGTTTTCGGAGAGTTATTTAGAAAAAAAATGCTTGCTCGGGAGGGCCTATGGAAATGATGGCTTAAAGCATCTATTCAATTCTGAGAAAAGAGGAAAAAATTAAAAATATGCCCACATGTCAGCCCACCAGCTCCAATAAAAACTGCTGGGAAACCTTTCTTCCCTACAGCCATGTATATTTAAGAAAAATCAAAAGTAACCTGTCCTTCAGATCCAATGCCATTTCTGAGATGCTCAACCATTTCTTCTGCTAGAAATTGATTTTTTTCCTGTCAAAAGAAGTTGTCAAAATATTAGAAAGATAGATATATCTTAAACTACAAAAGCCATATTCTGCTGTACACAATTTGGGGTTCCAGTAGTAAAAGAAGCTGAACATTGAAATGCACTTTTTATGTGGTCACAATCATTTCAGTAGATGTGTAGCACTGCTTGATGGATTTTATATCAATCAATGATGGCTGTGAAAAGATATCAATTTGATCTAAATAAGCAAAAAAGCTTTCGGCTAAGAGAGTTACAGAAAAGCATCATAATCATGAGTTATATAAGTACTTAAGTATGAAAAAAGGCCTACATAACATCGTCTTTTGACTGAATGAGAACTTGAGGCGGTGGACCAGTTTTTCTTTCGTTTTGCTTCATTTCCTCTTAAAACAGCACCACCTTCCTTTACAAATATTAGCAAATCCTCCAAGGAAAAGGATACTGTACTCACATTTTTGTTATTACTCTGCATAAGAGAAAATGTGAATATCCAGCAGTCCATGAGATAATAAAAGAAAATTAAAAAGGCTGCCTGGTAACACCTAATAATAAAATTTCTCCAATTTTTGAGAAGCCAGACCATCCTTATTTACTCTCATTTCAGGTCATTAAGTGTGTGATAAAGACTGCAGCATGCCTCACTAATAAATAGCATACTTCAGTAGAAATATAAATAAAGGATCCATAGCCTGCTAAAAGCCTTAACAAGGTACTTCAAGATTGCACACATAAATTTTAGAACTTGACCCCTTGTATAGTTTCTTACCTTGAAGCACCTTAAATAACAATACTTTCTGCATTTAACATAGCACGAAACTGAACCTAACGTCTTGTGCATGTTCTGACCTTGAAGAACCTAAATAATTTCTGAGAATTTCAAATATTTACTAACCAAATCCAAAAATTAAGAAAAAAAAAAAATAGCATATCCTGTACCCAGAATTTTATTTAATTTTATTTATGAATTGTGAAGTAAATTTGTCCTTTTATAGTTCAAATCTCTGAAGTCTAAAGTACCAGTACCCATATAATCTTGAATTAAATCATGAGAACATCACATTCCATGACAGAAAAATTGATGTAATAAATATACATCTTGAAGGAAACAGCGAAATTGATAAACTTCAATGGAAAAAAGGCTAGGAGCAGTTCCTACCATGAACAATTTAATGCTCTCACACAAGCTAGTTTTGAACGAAACTTCCCACTTTTTCATTGTGCTGACTATCTTTGAAAGAGATACACCCTTTTGACCTATAAACAAGAAAGTGAAACTTGTCCAAAAATAGCTAACTCACTTGGAAGCTCATCTAATTATAAACAACTTATAAATGGAAAGAAAGAGATTTATCTTCAAAAATACCAGTTCTGTATTTGTCTTCACTTTCATTTCTTTCCTCTGTTGAAGAACGGATTATAACAAGTGCACCACTGAAACCTTTAGGCTCTGTTTCATCATTTACAAAACATATTACCTGAGATAGGCACAATATAAACGATTAAGTAAAGCAGAGAAAATAAAGAACGAAATGATATTTCTGCTAGAGTGTTGATCATCAACCTGAACATGGAAAACAAAAAGTTCTGCAAAAAGATAAGAAACAACAGCTGAACAAGATTTTTTAGTACGTTAAGCAATATTCTTATCTTTGATAATCCAAACCTCCAAGTGAAACTTAAGTATACAATTCTGATTTCTGATATAGAAGCCATTTTTCTTGAATAATTAGAGATATAGATGAATATATGTAGTATATTATAGTGTATAATTCAAGGAGGACAAGATGGCAAAATCCGGAAAAGGGTAAAACTCAACAACTCAATGCAGGCTTATAGTGTATATTTCTGTTGGAAAGAAACAGGGGAACCCTTGAGAAAACAAAACATGAATCAGTTCATGCAAATAGCTAAGGCTATTTGCTCCATTTCTACTTTTATACCTAACATGCACAATTAAAGCACTGTTGACTCACAAACAAGTTTAGCTCCAGAGAGGTATGCAAATTCCTTTGATTTCTTCCAATACCACAGCTTTCTAGATGAATCAAAATAACACAAACCAAATTTTTAACTGAGCCTATAGCATACAGTGCATATCAGCAATTTCAAATGCATCTTCAATTCAAATCTCCATAAAAAGCAATGTAATGCAGAATATATATAAGAGAATTACGTTTTAGACTTTGCCTTCTTCTTTTTCTTCTTTTACTTTCACTGTAATTTATAAGAACCTATAGCAAATTTTAGATGAACAGACCTTGGGACAAAGAATAGAAAGATTCTCTACATCCTCCATAGCAACTTCAATTCCAAATTTCCCCAACCGCTCTAGGACTCCCCTCAAACTAAGTAAGGTAATTTTCTTTCTTCGCAACTGAAGAAGTGCAGAGAAAATGCTTAAGAAAGCAAATGCCTCCATAATTTTTTTCAACCATGCTGGACACAAGCATGAACCACTGTTTTTTGTATACAGTCCACCGTCAGTGATGATATGCAGGTTGGCTTCTGTTAACAGCATGCATTGCCTAGAATGTGGATTTGACAAACAATTCATCAACCCCAAAACCTCAACAAACTTTTGACAACTCTGTTCCCCCAATATATCCTCATCAGGAAAACGTGAAACAGTCAACAAAAATTCATAAGGATGCAGATCATTATCCTTTCCTTCTACTTCCCCTTTTCTTTTAGTCTCAGTAGAATTATTAACAGATCTCGTCCCTCCTCTCCCTTCATTATCTCCGCTGCTATTGATTGATCCTTCACGTAAAGATGAGAACTCTTGCATCATATCTGAGTATGCAGAATCAGCAAAGCTGGAGGTTGTGCTTAGATTGGAAGGGTTAGCAGAAGGTACTGAAAAACCAGACCTTTCAGTCTGAGGCCTCTCCTTTTTGGTAAATGGAACCAAAACAAAGAACTCACCCGGCTCAATGCAGAGAGAGCTTACTTTACTATTTAAGCTTGTCTTAGCACCCTGATACAAGTATCATTGCAAGCAATAAGAACACAAAAAATTGTGCAAAAGCGGAAAAGCAGATCAGAATCACCAAACATTGTTCAAGCATGAAACTTTGACGAAATGTAGACACAAAAACATAGGGGGAAAACCAAAAGGCTAAATGGGTGAAACAACCTACAGCAAATTGCCGTCAAGAAAGTTCCCTGTGCCTTTTTCTTTCATTCATTTTCTAGGAAACCAAACATCAAATTTGCATATAATGCTACAAAATGGGAAATGGGTACCTTGAAAAAGAGATGGAAATTAGGAGAGGAAGAGGCAGGAGGAAAGGAGTTTTTCAATACAAGCTTAAGGTCACCGATGGCCTTGTCGGCCGGGAGGTTAACGAGGGTGGATTCGCCAGTAAGCGTCCGAACTTGGATTTGCATCTCCTCCATTTTGGATAAGTCTGTGCTGTATCTCAAACTTCAAAGTATGTGTTTCATTCGCATCAGAGGCGAAAAACAGTTCTTTTCGCGCGAAAGGACTTGCAGGCGGGGTGCCGGCGAGTTTGTTCTTCCCCCAAAATCGCCGTTGCGACGGGCGAAAAATAGTAAAATATCAATTTACCCACTAACTTACTATGTTCACCCTATTTTAGTCCTCTAAGTATTATTTAATTCCATAATAGAGAAAATTTTAGAAATTTTAAAAACACACTTATTATTTTTAAAAACACTCCGTTTAACCGTCCATGAGGGAGATCATTCCTTGGCATTGGAAGTCACTTCTTCATCAAATAGTTTAAATGTATATTGTTAGATTGAAATTGGATATTAAACTTTAAATTTGTGATTAAAAATAAAATACATATAACTTAACTACTAACACATAATTAAAGGTGTCAAATGTTGTGTTACTAATTAAAATTTCATAAGTATACTTACTAATCACACTAGTTGGGAAGTTGGAATATGTTTTTCTTAAGAATTTACCAATTTTTAATGAGGCTAAAAGTGAGAAAAAGAAACACTTGAATATTATGTTAAAAATTGAAAATGATAAGAAAAGGGATTCTTATTTTATAATTTGAACTGTGTATTAAAAGTGCAGTATACTTTATGAATTAATTAAAATATTTTAAATAAAATAACATAAAAAATACTTTTATTAATAGTATTTTAATAAATTCATAAGATAAATTACTCTTTTAATGTATAGTCTATCATATAAAATACTTTTTTATAAATAAATTAAATTATCTCCTTTTAGAATAGTATAATAAGTATTTATTTTCAATTTCATCCTATATCAATTTAAATTGACACAGACTAATGGTATAGGTTAAGATGCATAAATTACTTTTTTTATTAATTTATATAAAAAATAAAAATGACTAATTTTATTTTCAATATCAATAATAAAATTATAAGAGTATGTTTAATTAGAGATCAATTTTGTTAGAAAAATTTTTACTTAGAAAGTGATTGGAAAAATACAGAAGGTTGATAACTTTTTTTTATATTTATAAAAAAACTAATATAAGAAAATTTGATGAGAAAATTGTTAAGCAAATTTCACATAAAGAAAATTGATGAGAATTTCCTTCCACAAAATGTAAAAAAAAAAAAAATTGCTATCTAAAAATTATATCAAGAAAAATAAAGATTAAAATTATTATTTTACCATCTTTTTATTATAATATTAAACTATTAAAATACATAAAATCCCTTTAGGGAAAGTTTTAAGGGAAAAGTTAGACCAGCCATAAATAAAAGAGAAATGGTTTTGGAATTTTTTTTTTTATAACTTAACCGTATTATTTATATGATTGATTGATTTTTTTATTCATGTAGATCTTATTATATTAAATGTATCTATTTATTTAATAACATGTAAAAATTATATCAAAAAAATAATATAAAAAGATTATCCGTATAACACTATTTTAAATAAAATTTGACTCAACTTTTTTTTATACAATTAATATATGAAAATAAAGAGTAATAAGTAATTTAATAATAATTTTTATTAAAAATAAAAATAAAATATTTCAAATTTCAATTATATATAGTGAATTAAATAATATAAAAAATTATTTTTGTCATACAATTGAAAAAAACAACTACAACAACATATTATGACAATTCTCAAATAACAACAAACTTGCAGCCCAAAAACTGCATCCATGGCTAAGCAAATGTTTTGTTGTAGACTATATACAGTTCAAGTTTGGCGATTAATTCAAAAAAAAAAAAGATTAAGTTTTTTTAAATACTTCGAGTTGTCCTCCCGGATTTAGCAAAGGGTTAGTCTCAAATTAGATTCACTAAAGACACCGTACCGTAAATAAATAAACAACAAACGTGCAGGGAATGGCTACGGCTACGAGAGCCGTGTGCAGCAAACTAAGCAGAACGATGGTGACGCTGGTGGTGGCAACCACCGCTGACCCAGCCTCCATAGGCTCGGCTGCTTCTCTATTAGCCATGCCCGGTTGGCAACCTGGCCCCTCCCTACAGGTCAGTATTCACCTTTATTTCTTTCATGTTCCTCACCGTACATAGTTTTTCTGGTCAATCTCTCATATTTTGGCCGACGGCCGTCGCAGGGTGCACAGAGTTTCGTAAACAAGGACGTGAGACTAATAAAACTCGACGACCGGCTTGTCCGGGAGAATCATTTGGACAGGAGATGGGAGGAGGCGACCGGCGAGGTTGTTAACGACGTCGTCTTCCTTAGCAGGCATGTGGCTTCCTCCACCAGACCTGCCCTCACTATCCACCCAATTGGTACCCAAAATTTGGGTTTCATTTTTATTCTCAAATTCCTCAATTCTAGTTAGTCTAGTGCATTAATGTTATGCTTGCAAAATGCAAATTTCAATGTTGTGTTTTTTAGGCACTCCTCAGGTTCTTGAAGGTGAGGATTTAGTTTCTGGTGGGAAGGCTCGGTGGGCTGCACCCCCGAACCCGAGGATGGGGCCGTGGTTCAGGCTTTTGAAGGAGGTTGCTGAATCGCATAATTTAACTCCTGAATTTGAGGTAAGGTGTGACTTCTAGTGCCTTTGGGATAATATATATGATTATTTATGAACAGATTATATGTCACTCGTAACTATTGTGTTAAAAATGGAGAAAAGTTCATTGCTTTAGTGAGGAAGCTGGTAAAACCAATTCCTTTATGGAGAGAGAAAGATGGAGAAGCAATAAAATCATAGTTTTTAAGGTGAAACTATGTAAATAGCCTTTAATTTAAGCATTATGGAAGAAGTGAGAAGAAGCAATAGGGGGATTATCCTTCACCTCTGACCTACATTTATGGGGACCATTTGGTTTATGAGAGGAAAGAGAGATATTCCTATGTCATATAATACTTTCAATTGATAAGAATGTCTGGTTTGCGTGACAGACTAAGTGTTGGAGACTAGCCCAGGGACATAAAAATGTTCTGCCATATTGCTGATTAAAGGGAAAAAGAAAATAATGTTCTGGCATATATTCTGTTTTGTGATAGTTGTGCTCTTTTGGTTTACTTCTTCATAGAGTTCTTTTTTACTTTATCATTTCTTTTGCATTTCAGTTAAAAAGGATAGAAATAAATGAATTCCATTTTATTGTATCTATTGTTATAGGTCACTCTAGAAGCTACCCACCATGGACCGGAAATCAATTCACCAACTATGTTTGTGGAGATTGGTAAAGAGAATGAATGACTGGAGAAAGTTCTATTCTTTTGCACCATATCTCTTCCTTTTTCTCCTGTGTCTTGCTGGTTTCCTCATTTAGTTTTGCAATCTGCATTCTTTTCTTTTCTTTTTTCTTTTTTTTTTTATCCAGGTAGCACGGAAGAGTATTGGAAGAGGCAGGATGCTGCTCAAGCAATTGCTTTTGTGGGTATCAATTTTCAGCAAGTCAAGTTTTTATTTTATTTTGTTGCTCCTCCTTTACCCATTCAGTTTTAAGTGATGAATGAAATTGCTGTAAGGTTATGTCTTTATTGATCTTAACTAGATTCCAGGAAAATAACTTTGATGGGTCCTTTCACCAGGCTTTTTTGACTTACATTCAACTGTCGGGGGTCAGCCTACAAAATTGCTGAGTTCTCTTCTAAATTTAGTTAAAAAATTTTCCTTTTTGAGATTTTTTGTGTGTAAACTAGGGTCAAGTTGGCATGACTAATATAAAGTGAATACACACAATAATTAAATACTCAAGCCTATTCGTTCTTATATGTAATGAATTTGGTATCATGTTATTTGAAGTTAGTTTGGCAAGGACTGGGTCTTGGAGGTGGAGCAGCAGTTGGAGACTGGGGAAGGTATTCTCTTGCTAACTTCATTTTTGCTGCGAACTTTGTCGTTAGAAATTCTTAGAGGAAGCTGAACAATAGTAACATTGAATTTGGATCTTTTCCTTTTAGCGTAAGCTAAATTTTTTAAAGTTATGTTATGTTATATCTCTGGTCACAACACTTCAATTGTTTGGTTGAATCTTGTGTTCTCTTGTTCCTCTTTGTCTGTTGGTGTCAAATGACCGCATGGTAGCCTTTCCTTATTCTTTTCATGGTTGTGTTATTTTCATAGTCAATGTGCCTAAAAAGATTCAGTACTGTATATTATTTTACCAAAGATTTTGTCTTGCCATCTAACCTTTTGATTTATTTTTCAAGAGAAAGAACTTCAGATTGTTTATAGAAATTAACAGATGTATATAAATGCTTTGTGATAGTGATTTTGAAAAACTGATGCCTGGCATCAAAGTAGATTGTGCTTTTATTATAGTAAAATTCAATAGGGAAGGGAGAAAGAAGTCAAAGAAATGCACCAAAGGGTCTTTCTGTCATTTCTTTTCCTTAATATCTACAGCGGCCAATTTACTTGGGGTGATCAATGTTTCTCATTGCAGGAACAGTGAAGAAAACAAAGTACTTCTCGGCATAGGAGGTGGTCATTATGTTCCTCGGCACATGGATATTATCAAGTGAGTTTTTGCCATTACAAGCCTCTGCCAACTTCTTGTTGCTTTCCTTTTCTTGGTCTGTTGTTCATTGAGAAACTAGATTCCTGAAGGGAATTTGCCTCGACACCTTTATGTCTGCATAACCTATAGTTACTAATTCACCTTTTGAAAATTAAGGAAAACTGGTGCTTGGGTTGGCCATTTGCTGTCTGGCTATTCTCTACTAATGGAAGAACCAGTAATAAATGCAGCATCAGCGGGTGGAACTTGGAGAGAAACCATCAAAGTTGCATTCGAGGCTACTAAATTGGCTTTCCCTGGTGGAGAAATTCTAGCACATCTTGATCACAAGTAAGTCATTTTCTTTCTTTGAAAGAATTTTAATATATATCCCAATAGGTTGAATACCCCCTTGATTCATGAAGGCTAAGTTTATACTTTTCCTTGATGGAGGTTATTCTAGAAGGACGGGTTAGAGATATTGAGGAATCAATCTTGTAAAAGAGTTCTAGTCTTGACATTTCCAGCTTAGTGTAGAATACTGCAGAAGACTATTCTGTCAGTCCAAAATTTTCATTTTAGGTTTTCCCCAAAATATCACAGAACATTGAATTGCAATTAAATGAAATTTTGTCTCTTACAGCATGTACATGAGAATGTTTATTTTAGAGGCTGAGGGGTGGCAGAGATTCAAATGATGGACCTTTTCCTCCTATTTTGATGTTGTTTTGTTTTAAAGATGAGTACATGATCTAGCAATTCTAGGACAGGTCACGGCGATAGCGTACAAATCCCATATTATCACATGTCCAATATATGGTCACATTTTGATCACTTTTATTGATGGATTCAGGAGCTTCAAGAGCTGGCAGAGGAATGCCATCACAGGGTTCTTAGAGGAGCAGAACATAAAGATTGGCAAGCCTAGCGACTTCTCTCTCTCTTAAGAACTGTCAATTTTTCTGTTATATCAGAAACTGCTGATCTCTGATATTTCTTACAATACAACAATTCACAGGATCACAGCTTAGATTATCTGATATTTCTTACAATACAACAATTCACAGGATCACAGCTTAGATCATCACATAGACATATACAGTGGCGCAACATTGACAGATTATTCAGATTATCATTTTTTTTTCCCCGAACCATATGGGATGATCTTTCAATCTAGTGAATAAATTTAAAGCATACTATTATTTCATTTTCGAAAATTGCTGCTTAAACTGATTCTTTTTTCTTTACCTCGAATTATTTCCCTTCTCTTTCCAGGAATTTAGCATTGGTCGTGTAAGTTTTCCATCAGTCTTCAGTGCTGACTTTGAATACTGTGTTTGAAAGCAAGAAAATATATGGATGCAGAAGCTTCCTCCCAATGACCACTTGGTTTTCGTTGGTAATACGAAAGATTCATAGGTCAATTGACTAAAATTTTCGTAAGGAAAACGTCGATTGGTCAAAATTTTCATAAGAAAAAGTGAGGCAAGAAAATAAAAGGTTTTTTTTTTCAACAAATTATAATTATTTATATGTGTTAATTAGGATGAAGAAAAATTTTATGAGGTTCAAACACGTAATTCATAAAAAATGAATGATTCTAACGTAAAGTACATGTTACTTAATAGAAATAAATAGTCAAATGAATAGTCCAATGAACTAAAAGTTTGAGCACTAATAATAAGATAAGAAGATATTTTTTTATTAATAATTACCTTACAAATTTTCATCTCCTATCAACATCTAAAATTGTTTAGTGTACAAAAGGTGTAATGTGAATTTGATGCTTCTCATTTAAAGGCGCCCTGATTCTGACGCACACATTGTGCTGGCAGTTAAAAGTAGGTATTTTGTACACCTTCCCTTTGCAAGAGTGTCAAACTCGAAGTGTTGCATAGCTACGTGATGGAACCGTTATAACCTATAGCCCTTAAGAGTGGGCATAATCTTCAAAACTCCAGAAGCCATGCAGCTGAAATGTAAATTGTGAGTTCTTTTCCCACAACGTACCAAAACAGGCAGAACTTTTCTTCTACGTTTTGTTATTTTTTTTCCTAGGCTTCGGTCAATGAAGGAGAATTTCATTTCCCCCACCCCCACTTCCCATTATTATATAGTAATTAACACATCTCCCTGTTTATGCAAATTTGTGTGGTTAGGAAACTTCAGTTGGGTGTCTCCGCCATGGCTTTTTGGGGCAAGCTCCTGCTTCTCACTGCATTTCTAGTTGTCATTTACACGACAGATGCCTCCAAGCACAAAGTCACCCGCATCCAATTCTACATGCACGACATCGTCGGCGGCCCCAATCCCACCTCCGTCCGAGTAGCCGGCCGGTCCAACTTCACCGGCCAAGACCCAATTGCGGCCTCTTTCGGTTCCGTTTATGTTATGGACAACCCACTTACCGTCACACCCAACCCAAACTCCACCGTCATCGGCCGCGCACAAGGTATCTACGCCATGTCATCCCAGCAGAACGAGTTCAGCCTTCTCATGACCCTCACCTACTCATTCACTAGCGGCCCTCACAACGGCAGCTCCTTCAGCGTCCTGGGTCGGAACCCAATAATGAATAACGTCAGAGAAATGCCGGTAGTCGGCGGTACCGGCCTTTTCCGGCTGGCTCGTGGGTATTGCCTTGCCCAAACCCACTCAATGGACCAAATGGATGCCGTGATCGGATACAACGTTACCTTGCTGCTCTACTGAATCAAAACCCATTACGGCCATCCGATTTCTGTACCAAAAAATCAATCTCTCCAATTCATGTATTTGTACACGTGATTGATTGTTCTTCAAACTTACTATTTTAGTAAAACAGACAGAGGAATAAAAAAGTTGGGAGCTTTTAATACCCATGATTATGATTTAGCATAAATTTCTCGCCTTTTTTGTTACCATGTTTAAAATCATAACCGATTCATTCTCTACCCATAATGTTTTCACACTGTAATAACTCCCTCATTCATGGAGTCTCCCCTTTTCAAATTCAAATCCCCATTTCCCTCTCCTAATTCAACTCTCCCGTCTGTGTATCTCTCTGTTTCTTTTTGCAGACAAACGGGATAAACATGTCTACGCTTTGGACATTGACTAAGTTAGTTAGGTGGCGTGTAAGAGATTGGGCTTCATGTTTTCTTCCATTAGGTAAACATGACAAAAGAAAGTTATTGTTGTCCAATTATTACAGGTTTTGATTTTTTTTTCTTTTTGGCAGATGATGAACAGGATGTGTATCGACCACAGCTGCCGATCAGAAACATGGTTTTTGAAATGAAAGAAGATGGCAGGGGCAACAGGAATGGCAAGAAACTGTTCCGGCGGCGACACAGAAGGAAGGAAGACAGGGTGGACAGACGGTTAAACCTTAGTCCTCGGAGGTCCAGGAATGCTGTTTCTGCCGAAAATGGGGTTGATGGCTCGAGCTGGCCTGGTTTTGCAGATGAAGAGTATATTGTTTTCTGCTTCAGAGAAGATGGGGCTTTTGATGTTGTGAGAGATGGAAGATCAGAGGAATATTCCAGTCCTAATACAAGTTCAGAAACTGTTAACAGAAAGGTTTTTCCTCTCCCCTTTTTCTGTTGTTTTCTTAATTGTACGATTAATAATTAAGCTATACAACAAAGATGGCCTTCTCTTTTTATAAATCCCTTCTCACCTGTTTCAAAGTTCAACCTTAGACCTTGAACTTAGAGTCTCAAACTCAGCCACTTTTCTCTATTGTTTTCCCTCCACTCTTTTCCTTAAAGACTACTTTTTTGGGTTTGGAAACAGGTTGATTATGTTGGGGGTGAAAAAAGAGTAAAAGAGAGCAGCAGTCATGAGGGAAGGCCAGAAGATGATCAGAATGGTAACTTTTCAAGAAAAGAAGCAGAGATCATCCCTGTTAAAATGGTCGGTGGCCCTCTCTTTTTCCCTATTTAATATTGATGGCTGTTTGTCCTTTTCCCTTTCTTTTTTCTTCTTTTTTGGGACATACAAATACAATTGCAATAGTGGCCAGGGAAGATCTACTGTCGTCAACATGTTTCTTTAACCTGGACCATTGTCTTTGAGCAGGGTGAGGAGGGAGGAAGCAAGGGCTTGGATTCAGAGTTGGATTCAGGTGGCAAGTTAAGGAGAAGATATCATCAGGTGGAGGAGACACGACATAAAGAGATGGTATCCGCGGGGTCTAGTGACTCTAACCATTCTGATGGCAGCACAGGCTCCTTTGCCTTTCCTGTGTAAGTTCAAGATGAAAATCATATCTTCAATCATATCAACAATTATTGTGCAGTTATGATCTTGCAGAACTGGGAAGATTCTTTGGTCCTTGAAAGCTTATGACTGTTTTGGATTGAAAAATGAATGCAGGTTAGGATGGGAGTGGATGGGGAGTCCAGTACAGATGCCAAGAACAGAGGAGATGAACTCAAGGAACAACAAGCCTCGCTCTCTGCGTTTTCAATGTTGTAGATTCTAAAACCTCTCCTTCTCACTGTTAATTGTGGGCGAAAGTTCAGATGAAGATAGTGTTTAGGGTCCATGTTCATCATTCTTTCATTTATAATAACAGTACCCTTCTCATTTTTTAAATTCATACTTGTTTGTTTTAAGATTTAAATTTAAAATCTCAATCAACACCCTTACGGGTAATCCACAATAGAGGAGATTAGGCTGATAAAACTTGAATTTTGTGGAAAATACCAATTTCATCTCTCTTTCATTAATGTAAATTTTTCTATAAGAATAATAAGATAAATCTATCCCAGTCTGAAGCATATCCAGGGTATCTAATGAGGAAGCAAAGCTCACTGCTTGGTGTTGGCTAAATTTTCAAAGAACAACCACACATTTGAATGTAGATTCTACAGAGTGGAAATTTCGTTCATTTACATACAACACGCATTTGAATGTGCTTGACTTTACCAAACATATTAAAACAAAATCCGTATAAACAATGGAATTATGGGAGATGACCTTGAGAAGAAGATGCCACAGAACCAGGCAACTACAATGAAAAAAGGGTATGAGACCAAGTTGGGAAGGGAGTGGATAAGTTACAGCAGCTAATACAGTGCGGAACCTATATATCAATACATGAAGGAGCCGGACTGCAACAGTGCAACACTTCAAAAACCGCTTATCAAATCCCAATGCTTTCATCGTTTTGACCATGGGATGTGAAAAGAAAGGATTGCAGATACAACCTCGCACTGGCAGCAACTGCAAGAGATTCTTCATCTTGCTTCTCTTTTGCAGCAGCAACAGCAGCAATGTAAACTTGTCTTGCTTTCTCCATTTTCTGTATCTCCATCTCATCAATGTCATCCTGTCCAAAGCAAGGTGGTTAAATTCTGAACAAGATGGAAATAAGAAGTCCAATGTATCAACAATCCAAACCAAATTCCATAAACAGCTGACCAGCTGTAAGGAACCATCTCTATTACCCCCCACTGAAGCAAAAAACTATCTCTTTTAATAGCAAAGCAACTATGACAGTAAATTTCAAGTTCTATCTCTTTTTATTGGTGCATTTGATGATGGGCTATAAAACAGAAGATAGCCCTCCTTTCCCCAAATCCCTCCCCACGTCTCAAGGTTCAAACTTAAAACCTCCCAACCTTGAGTCCCTAGCTCTAATCTGTTGAGACACCTCAGGGCTAGGTTCAATCTATCTTTGATTCTCCTTTCTTCATCTTTTTCTCTGTACCATTCTTATCATTTTTATTCTTTTTATGGTTTAGAGGAGGTGGGATCCTTTGATTCTCTTGTGCCCTCAACCGCAGACTAAGGAAGAAACATGAATGCAAAATTATGGGAAAAAGTCTATAGAGATATTAGTGATAAGTGAGATAAAAAAATAAAATATTTATTTTTTGTCTACCAGATGGATACCTAGGTAAAACCCTCCACAACACAAAGGGAAAGTTAAGACAAATAAAAACATTTAATATCTACCAAAGAAGACATATTTAAGCAGGGTCAGGTGAGCTTACAATGTATGGAAGATGATCCAAATGATATGGAGCAACATCATAATCTTGAGCATGTGTATTGGAATGACTCATTGACAACTCTCCAAATATATGCATAACTGATGAAAATTCTCCTTGCATGGATTCTAACTCCTCTTGGAGTTTCTCTACTTTCTCATTGGATGTCATTGCTTCCCATTGCAGCTTCTCCAAGGCAGCCTGTTTGTCTGCAAGCTTAATCTGAGGAAAATGATAGCCATTTGTAAAGACTTCAGATAATTTCAAACAAATTATCAAACAACAGTTCCAAGACAGAATTCTAATGAATGTAATTCACGTAGACATCTTCATTCAATTATCATGCGATTCCTTGATGAGGTGAATTAAAAAGACAAAAATGAAAATGTCAAGGAAGGGTATGTTGGAAACCACTCATTATCCTAAATGCAACTGCTATTTGCAACAATCAATTTCATTGCAGGTTAAATAGATACAAAGTGATCATTTCCTTTCTAATAAATTTAATGACCCTTCATTCAATTTCCAACAACATAAATGCTCAAGTTTCTTTTGAAGAACTTTAGAGTCAAAGAAACATTTATAGACTCATAGTTTTCAATCATACATATTGACAAACAGCTAAATATTGCAGCATGAACACAAATTCACAATCCTAGCAGAAGACAAAAAAGATAAATATATAAATAAATGGAAAGGGGAGAGGATGTATACCTTAGCATCAGAGAGTTGTAACTGAATTGACTTCACTAAAGAGTCCTTTTCTGCAGCCTGGCATTTCAATTCATCAAATTTGAAATGAATATCATTCATCTCAATCTTTGAAATCTCTGCTGATGTCAAAAGCTCATCTTTTTCCACCAACTTCCTTTGCAAATTTTCCAATTGTTCCCTTAATGCAGCTAACTCTTCATTTTCCTTCTCTGTTGCCAAAGCCCTTGAGGAAAAGATTGAGAAGCTGTCACCATCTTGGTTATTGCTTATATTTTTATCTTGGTCCCAGTCTGCATGGTCTTTTTTCTTTTTAAGAGGAATAGACTGAGTGGCATTCCTCCCTCTTGGATCAGTTGCCTTCATGCATGGCAAGAACAGAATTACCACTCAGATTTAATTCTCAATACGAAGCAAGCAAAATCACCTTACATGAAGGTAGGTGACACCATGACAGGACAAAGAGAATATCACAAATGCAACATGGGACATGGGTTATG